CGGAAATATACAAAGAGCTTAATATGCACATATATTAATATATTTTCTTTAAAAGTCATATTGGTACACTGTGCATTTTTAGCATAACAAGTGGATAACAGAATTTTCCCGCTAGAAAAAATAGCGTTGGTTTCTTTCGTCAAAGAATTGATTCAAGATTGATCAATTTCGCTTTTTAATCTGTAATTTTTCTTATATATGCTGAACAAGATCATGTTATAATCCGAGGTGGGCGAGTCTTTCCTTTTTTGAGTACAAGTCATTCTGGGTGGAGTCCCGAGTCTGACTCGAGCCATATTTTTTAACTGGAAGTCAGACTACTTTTTTTTCTAGAAAGATAGTCGTAAAAAGGTATCACATTAAAAAAATAATTGCTATTTTTCTTCGAATCTAAGATTTGATCTATTTCTAACAAGACGTTTGTCATAGATGACGGTTAACTTAACCGAATAATTTCACATGTAGAAAAGTGAAATTTTATATATTGTACAGAACGAAGCAAAATATAACATAAAATAGACTTTCCATTTTTCATAATAATCTATTTTCATAGTGACTAGGATGGTTTATCTCTTGTAATATAGTTTCCTCTTTATTCTGAAATTCTTTGCGATAAAAAGATTTATAATGAATACGAAAACGAAAATTTAGAAGTCTAAAAATGTAGCTCGAGTCTTTTTCTCAGATTGTACGAGTCTTTCACCTCGAGTCCGAGTCCATTCTTAGTAAAAACAAAACGCGAGTCGAGTCTGAAACATGACTCAAACTCGTCCAGCTCTGATTATAATAAGTATAAAGTTTGAAAAGTCCAGATGGACTAGAGAATTGATCTCTTTCATCTTAAAGTATGATGACAGAATTTTTTTCGCGTTGCGAGATGTTGCCACAACAAGAGCCAAGATGAAGTATTAAACTGCGCAAAGATTTCATTCTCAGATTAAGCAATGGATGACGTGAGTTGGCCTTAAAATGGCGAAAATACGAGAACAATGTAATAGCGTTGTACTTTTAACTGGCCTCAAAAATTTTCTCGGAGGTAGCTAATAAGTTGGAATGTTCGATTCTCGGTTCTCAGCTTAGAACCGGAAAATAATGTTTCAGGCAGTTCTGTAGCTTTGTCAAGAGTGTGTTTTCATTTTGTTAAAGAAAGGCAGGTCAAAAGGTCTCGGTTCCGAAAAAAGGAACCGTCTAAGAAACCGTGGTTCCGATTCCATTGTCAGAACCGACAGCGCGGTTCGCATTCCCGATGAAGAACCGAAAATAAGAGAACTGCGGTTCCGGTTCTTAATGAGAACCGAACATCCCAACTTATAGGTAAAAAAACTCAAAATCTATTCAAAATGTTTTTCACAAAAAACTGAATACCCACATACATATCGCTCCTAATTGGAAGCTTTTTTTAGGTATACGCTTCCCACATTTGTTTAGTAGTTAGCATCGAGAAAAACCGGTAAAAACAAACCATTTTCATAGTTTTGCACATGACTGTAATGATTTTATGGAACAAACAAAAAAAGACATCCGAAAAGTGAATTGCATAGCTGAAATACCTTCAAATCAGGAGCGATGTAAGGTACGCATAATGCAAAATTAAAGCAAAATTTTTTTCTTAATGTATTATACATCATTGGATAGAGTTCATTAAGCTGATTAGGAAAATATATTTTTTCGTTTTTCAAAAATTTTTTTTCATATCGAAAATTCGAAAAATCGTTCAAGTTCAAAAAATCCTCAATCCTTATCCTAGATTGTTTTGAAGCCTTCAAACAATTCTGTCGGATTTAGCGTTAAAACCTGAATAGAAAAATAGTGTTTGATAAATTTCGAAATTAAAAGCCTGACGAGCATGGGCGTCCCAAACTAGCGCTCTAAAGTATGGACATGCAATTTGGTAAACCTACCTAGTTTTTTGTGTTAATGGTTGAAGCCATCATTTACATGTCATTAGGTTTGCTGAAAGCTTACCTTTAAAAGTACGCTTCGCTTTTTTTAAAACTTTGTTTTGTTGCGGAGAAAGTTCATTTTTTCTAAATCAGAGGCGATAAAGTCAGAATTCTTTCCGTAATTCTGAATTTTCTCTATAAGAACTCAATTTTTATGCAATAAAAATATCATATTCGGAATCACAATCAAAAACTGAGTCGATTAATGTGTACTTTGAAATTTTATCGATCTCAATGCAGCGGGGAAAAGAATATATAAGAGATAAAATTCTTCGTTCAATTTGTTGATTACGTAACTCTACTTCTCCCTTACCTTCTGAGATGCTGTAATAATATAACTGTATATACATAGTTTTCTAAACTAATTAGACAGATGCACATGTAAAAATTTTTTCTCTTCTTCTTATCGGTGTAATCGTTCAATGGTTAAAAATACTTTTATCTTCTAGCTGGTTGAACAAACATAGATAGTGAATATCTCTTAATGTAAGTAGATAGTTAGACGATGAAACAATTTTTCATTGTTTTGCCTATGACCATTGTATTATGTAAGAGTTAGTCAAAAATCAAATAAGCTACTTAAGAAAAAAATTGAATTGAAATCATCAACATGTATGCTTCTCTTATATGATTGATTGAAACTATTAAAAAATTTTGCTAGAAAATGCTCAATAGTTTTGAGTTATGACAACAATTTTCTAACAGTTAAAATCTTTCACTGGTCATGTATATGACCAAAATAAGTCTCATAGTTGTTTAATGAATGTTATTTTAAGATAAGCTCGCAGATAAAATAAAAAGACAAGATACTTTCTAATGAGAAGTGACTATTTATATCGTCATTTGTAGTATATTATAAATGTATATGTTTCTGTCTGCATTTTGTATTTGTTGTTATTTTTAAGCTTCGTGAAAAGCTATCTGCCCAATAAAGAAAATGAATGAACTGTTCTCTTTAGCCCTGAAAATTTAAACGATAACATGAAGTGTAAGAAAATCGATTGGCTTTGATCAATACCTTGCCAACCTATTGCGATGTGTTTTTAGTACTTTTTTCTGAACGAAACATGTGTGAGGGAAAGTTTTATATATCATTCAATGCATCTTTACACAACGAATAAAACAGTCTATTTCTCAATTGTCATGTACACTGAAAAGAACCACTGTTTTAAATATTACTATTAAAAAGTCATCGTTCAACAGCAATATTTCTGTTTTTATACCATGAGAAGACTTAGGTTACGATTCACGTTACATATCAAAAGAAAGCTCTTTTAGAAGTAAACAAACCGAGTCCCAAATTATCTTGGCTTAGGTATGCGAGCATTCTTTTCCTGCGAAAGAGTATCTAAGCACTTCTTTTCCTTTATAAAATGGACACCAAAAGTTTTGACTCCTTCTCTAGGTCATAGATCTTTAAAGATATTCAAGGAGTAATACAGATAACCGGGAACCTCATCTACATATATATATACTAGAAGCTTCAAGAAATATAATCAATTTAGCAAGTCAAGTAATATCATTAATAATTTAGCAATCAAGAAATATAATTAATTTAGCAGCTGTTTTGAATTTTAACATGATTTATTTTGGGATATTTTGATCCTGGGCGACAACCTGTCATTTTCAACAATAACTGACTATGCAAAGGAAAAGAAAAATACACTTTGACACAAATTATTCATATATGACTGTGATAAGAAAGAAAAGAAAACCATTTTAAAATATATTCGCGTTTCATATATGCGCATATATAAAAAAATTATATTTCCTGGTTCAAAATCGCGGTCCTCATAGTTAAATATTGTGAATCAAACAGTTGAAAAGTCGTTCGAAGGCTTATCACTAATAAAGCCGCAAGCTAAGCTTCTTAGCAGTTCTCTCAGACAGCGGAAGTTCAAATTAGTATGATAATGATTTGAAGACAACTAAGATAGTATTCAGCTTACGAAGACCGCCGTCACGGATCAACAATTTGTTGGACAATATTGTCCCTGAATATATGCTGCAAAGATAGTTTTTTAACAGTAATATTAATAAACCAGGGCTCTAGAATATCATAAAATCACATGTGAATACCATTTGCGAAAATTAAAATGGGGCTGATTCTCGTTCTTATTGCTCCGCCTCTTTCCTCTAAAAACTTGGGTGAACAGAAAAAACGGCCTTTTGTGTCACTCACGCATGTAGAGTCTGTATCTCTGGACACAACTCAAGCCACTTTGACGAGTCCACTGGAAATGATATTTGAGTTCTGTTTGTTTTGCTTTTTACATATATTTATTTTCATTTATATATATATATATATATATCTAACTATATATATATATCGTAAGAAAGAGAGAAAGAGAGATTATATGCATGTGCTCAACAAACATTTCACAAAAACGGATAATAAAAACTACTAAACCAATCATCTGTTTTTTTCCTTATACGACGGTATGTGAAAGGATAAAAGCAACACGACAATAACAACAAAAAAAACATATTAAGATCACTTTTCAGTTAACAAATGATAAAAACAATCTTTGCTGAATATAAAAGAATAATGTACGGTCAAATAAACTGTAAAGTAAAATCAAAACTGAAAACAAAAGTCGTTGATAGTCTTATATTTATAATATACTAATACAACCTAAAAGTTTCTTGTTTTGCGTGCGATTTTAGCACAACCAAGATAAAATAAATAAAAACTATAATAATGAGCTGATGTTCCTCGAAAGAAAAACAACGAAACAAATATATTTCACACACAGAGTAGATTTTAAAACACAGTATCAGATGTTGTTGTTGTCTACACTATCAGTATACGAATTTTAATACTTATAAATAAAATGAATAACAAAACAAATAATAAATAACAAGGAATGTTTCTTCTTATTTAAAATCCAAGTTTATCGACTATCACAACCGAAAAGGTCTATTCTTCCCTCTTCACATGCTGTTTATATTATACAAATGCCATTCGCACATATATGTACAAAAATGAGAAAAAAAGCAATGAATGTTTTCAATATGTTCAGTATCCTGTTTGCAGGTAATATATTTACATATTCATCATTCTAATGCATAGAAACATGGTGTTTTTAATCTTAAATATCGCCGAAGACATAAATACATTCTAAATATACAAAAATAAGGAGTTAAGTAAGGATATCATGGACAAGAGAACTTGTATTGCAAAGAAAAAAGATATAAGACTTCTCTAACTATGAGATGAGGTATGAGGAACACTTCATTGTGTCTAAGATGAATATAGTTTTAATTACTTACATGCCCATGCCTAATATAAAACTACAGGCATTTGTTAGTACAATCAAACGATAGCTTTTTTTTCCAATAATTTCTTTTCTCATTTCATTTTCATCATCATTATCTTCGTCAAATTTAGCTGGATCACTTTTATTACATGGATGGATAAGTTTCCACTCTCTAAACAGCAAAACAAATGCATTGAACAGAACATGTTATGAGAGAGATATAACAGACTTTGGTGGTTCAGCTTCAACACGACTTGCCCAATTCATCATCCAGTCATTAAACTTTCGATTTGCATGATCTGTTGGTGGTGGACTTTTTGGTGATTTTGGCGATGATGAACTACAGAAAGTAGAACCAAATTATTTATTTAAACAAAAGCAAATATACTTAACCTTATGCATACCGAACGCTATTTGAATCTTTAACAGATCCAACACGTGATTCATGTTGTGCTTCAAGTAATAAATTTTGAACACTTGATGATATATGTTTATCAGAAAATGAACCAGGTAGTCTTTGCGGGGAATTATGAGGTTGTTGTTGTTGAACATTATCTTCGGGTTGAATATCAATCCAAGAATCTGTTAAAACAAGCAATAAGTATTAGAAACTATCCAGCATAAAAAAATAACAACTATCAACAATTTACCTGTTCCATACTGTTGTTGAATCGACATTTTTTTCAAGTTTATGAGTGCTTTGCGTATGTTGTTTTCTTTTTAAACTGTAGATCTTAAACAATACAAGATTATAAAATAAACATGAAAAAAGGAAAAGAAAGCAAAACAAAGACGCCATTCTTTATTTTTAATAATTTTTTTCTTTTTTTATCTAATCAGGCAGATGTACGCGTTTTTTCTATTTTTATTATAGTTTTACGTCTCACATGTACACCTTGTAAATACATATGATACACACATATGCGAGATACATGTCTTGCTTACAAACGTCAAACAAAATGAGTCATTCACCATTGATTACTACTATACACTTATTCACGTGATCTTGTTGTATGAAATTAATCTGGATATGATCAGTGTCTAGAATAAAAATATTTTTATTTTTCGCAGTCATACAATAAAATTTGCAAATATGAATTTTTGAAGTTTAATAACAATAGAGTACGTAGTGCATTGGTGTATTAAAAAACTGATCAGCGGTATTTTCAAAAAGGTATTGCTTGGTTACCGTGCGGATAATGCACTCATAATGTGAACAGAAAAGCATGAAAAGTTACTGACATGAAGAATGATAAACTGGTCCCTAAAATGATAGTATTTGCAGTCCAGCACTTTTTTCAGTTTTAGATATTTGTTTTAGCGTAAGAACTGGAATGCATTGTTCTATTGCCTTCACTAATGCTTATCATAAAGACGATGAGCATTCATGTTTTCATGTTCTCGTGAAGCAACAGGAAAGATAAGTCAAGTTTCTAATGTTGTTGGATCGGTTGAACGCAGCAGACTCTTGTCATTAAAAATGTGAAAAAATGTAAACGGAAAGAGAGTAACTCGATGCAATGTTTTAGTTTTTTGTTATGAACTGATTCGCTTCAGTTTCTTTTTTTCAGCTTATCGAACACTTAAGAGCAGAAAATAAACACTTTTCTATCTCACGAGATAGGGCGCGTAAGATTCCTGCACATTCAATTTCGGGTCTGTTATATTATTATGCTCAGAATTCACTACACTCGACTGTGCTTTAACTGTTCTTTCAAGAAAGTTTAATGCATTACTAAAAGCGCAAGCAACAGTTTTGTCTCGTCTCACAAATTTCTATCCTGTACGCGAATGAAACTTCTTGTAAACAAGATCTTGGTAAGAAAACGTAAGAAATTCGCGAAATTGTACGAACCCAAGATCTTAGGTACAAGAAGTTCCATTAGGAAACTGGTATAAAGTTGTCTGATGGCTTGGACTGAATAGTTGCTTTGTCATTATAATTGTACTCATTGTCTTACTTTTTTATAGATTGTTTATTTTTTGAATTCAAATCAGTCATATAATAATGTGGTTAAAGCTCAAGAATTGTAATAAAATCACATGATAAAAATTACATATCAGATCTCATAATTTTCAACTCGTTCAGCAACCATTGATTTCATTCAACAATCGATTGACTTTTGTATACAAAAATGTGCCGGATAGTAACACAGTTTATATGAAAACTATTGTACAAAATGCTGTCTTTACTTCATGTAAAATTAAGTTTATAAATGTTCATCCAATTGCTTTCAATTGAATAAGGTGAATATGGTTCATAGAGGTCGATGCACAAGAGTTGATAATTTTATGATCCCACAGAACTATAGAGACGCGACGTTGCCGTTTTCATATATTTATGGGGTACGATATTTGCTTTATCAAAAACTGAACGTAGTACAAAATTAGAAATTATCATTATCAACACAATATTATCCGTCATTTTAGGCTACCATTTCCAAGAACAAATTCGAATCAAAAATATGAATATATACCTGTATCTAAAACCAGCATGACAGTAAAAAGTTGATTTTGGTTTTTCATCCATAATCTAATTATGCTGTACACTAACATTTTTTATGGTTGATAGTGCCTATAGAAAAGATACACGCTAGATGATCCGTTGGATGCACTAGCTGAATTCAAATAAACATTGATTATTCTACGGCATTTCTCAAACGACCAGTCATAACTTAGTTTTTGTAAAACATTGATTCTGTTTGTAGAGGAAATTCTACATTCACTTTTAGGTATTATCGAACCATATCAAGATATTGTGAAGCTGTATGCCATTATTGTAAAATTATTTTACATTATATGTTTATTCTGCAGCGAATGACAGAAAGATGTATGGAAACATCCCCTGATTATTAAATAAATCCATCAAATTTCGTCAATCTCTAGTGCGTATTAAAAGTGATTCTTTTTTAGTATATATCATTATACAAAGTCTTTTTCTGATTAGGTTGGCTAAGAGAGATTTACAATACTTGAAAAATGTGTTAATTTCGGATCGAGTTCAATAAATACATCACCGACAAACTCATTTACAATTATCAATGATGGAACAAATTATATCTTCTATCAAGTATTTGTAGAAATAAACACATAAAAAGTTTTGGTGTCGATTTCCAATTTGTATTTTAAGATTACTGAATCCAATGCTTGTCAAGCTGCTATTCCTCGGCTATGAGATCATTTGGCATCATTTGACTTACGTGCAAATATTACAACTGAATTGATGCCGATTGAATTGATTAAACTTGATATGAAAACTAGATGAATAGCTCTTAGTTAATACTTTTAAATCTAATGAATGGAGTTACTGAACAAGAATTGACCATTGTGGAGGTAAATCATACTTTTTCGTACTTAGAATGTTAAAACAGAATAATGAATTGAATTTTACTGATGTGTTTGCATCAATGAACGCGAGCAAGAATAACTTCATGTAGAAAATTTGGCAATAAAAAAGAACGACGATTAAATAGGAAAGCATACGTATATGTATATAAAATGAATGGCATTCCCAGTATCTGTCCTTCTACTCATTTTAAAGTCTTTTACTTTTTACCGAAATATTCCCAATCAATTCTTCATCAGAAATATCAAGTGTTTATTCCATTACAAAATATAATAGTAAAGAATGAGATGAAAAATTCTGCAAAGCCTCCGAACGAAAAAGACATAATCTAAAAAGAAGCTTTTGCAGGTTTTATCCTCTTCTTTGAAAGATGACAAATACTACTTATGCATTTTCTAGTCTTTGAAAAACTCTATTTGTTAGAGATAATTAAAACTCTTTCACATTAAAAGCGGTTGTTTTAAACTTTTATTTATTCATTTATCGAACAAAAAACTCTAGCGCCTACCGAAGCACATATTATAAGCGTTCAAACGCTGCTTCTTTTTCAGATTTTAGAAAAAAATCATTGTTGTTGTTGTACAGTTTCGCACTATCCGGTGAAATTAATATAATTCGATACATCCTTCTATATTTTGTAATAAGAGGAATACTTCAGATAGATTTCGTAGAGAACTGAATGGAAAAAAAACATTTTGTAAATAAGAATCAAATTAGATAATATGCCTTCATTCATGTCCAGAAAGTTTATTTTATAGTGTAAAAGTGATTGCAATATAGTGAAGGGTAAAAATTTTTGTTTTTTTTCTAAGAGCTTAAAACATGAATCTATGATAAATAAATTGGTAAATGTATGAGAGACATAGAATTTACGAATAAAATGATTTATATAAATTGCTACTTTAACAGTTTTAAAGAGTTGCAATTTAAAGATATCATTTTGATTAACTTTATACAAAAGATATCAATTGTGTGACCTTTTCAAGTTACGTTATAAGTTTTTCTTGCTTTCGTAGCATCAGAGATGAGCGAGTACGCAGATTCGTGAGTACATGTATGAATAGGAGTACTGGGTGTCGAGTATGAGTAAGAGTACGAGTATTTTCTAAAAGAAGAAAATACTGGTGAAAAAAATTTAGCTGCCTAACAATAGTCATTTTTAGTATCTTTCTGGGTATCAGTTGAAGGAGAGTTAGATTCTGATCTTAGTTTTTTTATTTTACTCTTTATTATTCATTTGTTTTACTTTATCTGAACACACAAGAATGAAAGATTATCCTAGAAGATCATTATTACATTTTAAAAATGTTAACATGCATAACGTGGATGCTGATAAGTTTGAACGATGTGGGCGGATGGATAAAGCCGCTTTGAGAAAAACTTCGCTCTGTTGGTGCGGATATTGTAGGGATAGTAAAATGTTTTAGAGCTAATTTTGATAGATGAGGCTATGATTGATGTCTCATTAAAATAAGATCAAATAAGCTTTTTCTTTATACGTTTCAGCTAAAAAGAAAAGATACAGTACACTTTTTTCTTCACCGAGTTATTTTCTACTATAAAAAAAGATAAGAAGTCTCTCCTGCTTCCTTCCTATCTTCTTTTACAGTTCACATGCGTCTCCTTATCTGATGGTCTCTTCTAGTGACCAAGAGAAAGATAGACAGAAAGAAAGGGAAAGACACTTCAGAACACATACAAAACCCTAGCATATAGCTGAGAGTAAGAGAGAAAAAAAATCCAAGGTGGTTTTTATGTGACTACAATAATCACATCTATTCATTTTGCAAGGACAAAAATTCTTTGTAAAGTATAGTAATAAAAAAATTTCAAGTACTCGAGAATAGTCTAGTACATTTTTAAGTGCTTGTAAAAGAAAGTTCCAAGTAAGAGTACTGAAAATTTTGTACTCGAGTATACTCGTACTCGCCTATCTCTGCACCGTGGTGTGTCTTGCGTCGTCATTTTCCATTCAACATCGTTTAATTGGTGATTCGAATATTCTATGTTGAAATTTATAGCCAATATCCAATGTGTATGCTAATGTTGTTTTATGTTCCATGCTATTGTGATAGTGAAAAAATCATGACATATCACCGGATCGAAAAATTTTAAAAGCTTGTTCGGTCAAAACCGATTGCAGATTCGTCTTCTCCATGGTTGATTATGTGGTACGCGATAACTTCTGGATCGGGGTACTTTAGAAAAAATTTTC